CCCTGTGTGCAGAGTAGAACTGCTTCATAGTGTTTTTAAAGTTTGTGACCTTTGGAAAGCAGATCTCCAGGCCTGTCTTCCAAGGCTCTTCTAGGTGTGTTTAAACCACCAATCTTTTGGCTAGTAGTTGAGCACTTAACTGTGCCACCCTTCAAAAAAAAATCCTTTGCCATTAAGTTGATTTCAACTCATAGACTCCCATATGGCACATAATAAAACAAAAAAACCGAACCTGTTGCTGTCAAGTCAGAAGCTTGATAAATGTTAGCTATTATTATAGTTAAAAGCATGCAGTTTAGGTGGAAGATGAGATTTAAAAACAGATTGTGGAGGACTTTGATTGCTACCCACAGTCTTGGATGCATCTGTTTTTACTGCTCAGAGCCTTTTGACTTCAAAGATTTTCAGCAGTGTTCCAAGGAGACGAGGCTGCTGCACGATCTGTTTTGGATGCATAAAGTATTGTTATAATTTGTTTATTGGCATTTGAGGCAGGGGCTCCATATATTTGATGGTTGTTGTTGTTAGGTGCTGTTAAGTCAGTTTTTGACTCATAGTGACCCCACGTGACAGAACTGCCCCAAAGGGTCTTCTAGGCTGTAATCTTTACCAGAGCAGATCGCCAGGTCTTTCTCCTGTGAAGCCACTGCGTGAGTTTGAACCGCCAGCCTTATTTGGTGTAGCAGCCAAGCACTTAACCATTGTGCCACCAGGGCTCCTTATTTGATGGCTAGATCACTTTATATTTGATTGTGCTGTTCTGACCTCTCATTTTCCCTATCTGCAGTGTTGAAGGAAGTCTGATGAATAGTGACAATTTTAGTAGGAAGTTGAGCACTGTTAGGAATCTTGGTGCTTTTGCTATAACCCTCCCGCCCATGTTGAAATTACCACATACTTGAAAAAATATGTGGCTCCTGGATGCCTTGGTTGCTTTATAGGTTTTCCTTTTTCCCTGTCAGATCAATTTTTGGTCAACAGCGTGATGCCAACAATGAAATATGTTTAACATTACCCTAGTGAAGGAGAAGAGTCAGTACTTTTAAAATGTATCCTAAGCTTTTGGAGACATTTGAGAAAGATAAGGAATAGTGGGAAAAGGTACCTAGCCTCTTTCTTTTTTCTGGTAGGTTGATATTCACCCCTCTGAGAGTGCGGGTTCCTGCTGTGACTTAGCAATTCTGAATGGAGAGAGTGGGTCTACAGGAGCCTTCTTTTCAGTGTCCAGTGAGGGAAAGCCACCGAGGACCCTGCCTCCTTTGAAGACACAAATACTCATAGCCCCATTTTCTGATTTACACCTTGCAAAGGCTCTCATACACCTTATCTCATGAGGCAGGCAATACAGCTCTGAATTCCATTTTTTTGAATGGGGACACTAAGACCCAGGGCACAGCCCGAGATCCTTCTGGTATCTTTGTATGCTAAGGCTCACCCAGGTTCCTGACTTAGTCCTGTGCTTCTCCCCACCCCCAAAGAAATTTATTGGAAATAGTGAATACTGTGTGCTTAATTCACTGTCCTGCTTGAAATCCTTCGTGATCCCCATTGCGCACAGGACGCCCAAACTTCTGAAAGTGGCGTGCAGAATCCTTTAGGCTGTGGCCCAGCCCATCACTTCCTGAGCTGTAGATCTCTTGCAGGATTGCTTGTCTTCATGTCATTGCACCTTTTCTTTTCTTTCCTCTTCTCTCTGCTTGTTCACCTATTAAACTCTTACGTATTCCTTAAAAGTCACTTCCCTAGAAAGACTTGCTTGAACAGTCTCCTCTCCCTTCTCCTCCCTCTGTTTGTCCCCGTACAGCGTTAGGTATCCCTCTTTTGTACTCCCTTAGCCCCGTGTCAGTACCGTTATGATAGCATCTATCATATTATGATTGTAAAAGTATGTTGATATTGTCTGTTCTCCCCAATGAAACATGAGCTCCTTGTTTATTCTTGAGTCCCCACTACCTAGCACTTGGTAAGGGTTCATTTCAATTACCTTTGGTTTTTACTGATGTCCTTCTACCTTTCCATGTATAAACTTCAAGTATCTTTAGAAGCCTAACCTCCTTTGCTTTAAAAAAAAAAAAAGAAAGAAAGAAAGAAATAGAACATATAGATACACTTTTAGTTTGGAAATGACAAGGCTAAGAATGATACTCGTTTTTTTTGGTTGTTGTTGGATTTTTAAATCAGTTTCTGCTTTACTTGGTGTGGTGTGTGTGTGTGTGTATGTGTGAGTGTGAGTGTATGTGTGTGAGTTAGCTGTGTTCCTCTACACCCAGAGAGGTCGTGAGGGGAACGTGGTGATAGCAGCCAAGAAAAGTTATGTCAGGGGTGTTCTCATTAGCTGAAGAATGGCAAAATCCTATGAGGCTTTACTGTTTGGAGACCTCATACATCATCACCCCACCTAAAACCCACACACTTGAGGCAGTAGATGCTCAGTCTAGCATTTGACGCTTCCCTGCCAACTGTGCTGGTAAGGTGGTGGGTATGACACTGGTTCCTAATTCTGTGGCCCTGGATATATTGTATATTGATATGTTGAATGATATGATTTTGGTCATCTGTGGTTTCTGTATCGTTAATGCAGTTGACCTAAGTCAGTACCCTTGGTAACAATTAACAGAAACCCACTGTAGCTTCTTTATGTCAACAAGGGAGTTTATTATAACGATGTAGGTGTAGCTCATGGAACTGTGGGCGGAAGGTGTGGTTGGGCCTCACAAAGGCCTGGAAAGCCATGGGAGTCCAGGCCATTATTATTTGTGTGTCTGGGGATTGGGCTTTTATCCCTGGGTATCGGCTTCATATATCTCATCCTCTGTGGAACAGCTTTCACTGCTTCTCCATATTTGTGGCCAGATTTACAATCTTTAGTTTAAGCAGTCAGCTTGATTAGCGTCTCATAGCCCCTTGACCAAATTAACAGGAGAGAGAAAATGATTAGCCCACTGTGGGACAGACATCCATTCCCCCATGCAGTTGAACTGGGGAGGGAGTGGTTCACACCAGGAGGTTGGGGGAGCTGGGTGAGTCCTCTGGGAAAAGGGAGTTTGGGTAGGACAGAATGCTAAAAGGTATGTCCTGATTAGTTTCTTTTTGGAACATATAGAAAGAAAGAAAAAAGTAACTACCTTGTCAAGTAAACAAAAAGTTTCACTGAGTGTGGTATATGATGTTTTAGTGCATGTTCTGAAAGCATGGCTCTATGTTATTCATTTCAAGCCTTTAAACAAAGAAAAATATTACCCTTTGCTCTTCTAGGAAATTCACTAACCATTTCAGTAATTTATGGTAGGTAGTTTTGGGTAGTATAAATTCTTCATCATCAGAAGATGATTCTTCTGCTGATGTAAAAATAGGCTAGTCTTCTCAAAGCTGGCTCAATTGAACTGAATTCCCAGCCCCAGTCAAGTTGTGTAACAGTTGATTGAATGTAATGAATAGCTTTGCCCTCCTCAGAGAAGGGTGATAGAACCTGTCAAAAATAATTGTGCTTCATTTTTGTTCTTTGCCAGTGACAGATAATGAAAACTCTCAAACAATGAGAATGTCTAAATTACCAAAACACTCATAGCATTTACATATGCAAGAGTAGTCCCTATCTTAGATAAACTAATGAGTAATGCCTGGGAAATGCTGAGCAATGCATTGGAATCATTGGGGGAGCTTTTTACAAAACCAGAGCGTCCCCATACTCTGTTTCTGTAGATTTGTGGTCAGGCCTGAGTGTCTGTTTAAGTAACAAGCTCCCCAGATGATCCCGACACTCCCCAAGTTTGAGAACCACTGCCTCAGAGGGACTTGATTTGTTGGCATCTCTGAGGATAGAAGTTGCTGTCATCTCCGAGATAGACTGTGCTCAAAACAGGTTCTCTGAAAAAGTCATGACTTTCTTCTTCAGCCTCAAGATTGGCCTCAGCTGCCTCAGCTGTTCCCAAGTTTCTTTTAATGCCATATTTCAGTCTGAATTAACAAATTCAGAAAATTTACCACCCAGAGCTATCTGTTTGCTGATCTTTTTTTTTTTCCTTTGTAATTTATTAGTTGACAAAACCGGTTGTGTCTTGTGGAATTTTCCACAGTCAAGATTTTACTGATTGCATCCCCACGGCCTCGTTTAACATGTTTCTGTGTCCCAGTGTTTCTTCTACATTCTTGACTGACATAGAAGCTCCAGCAGATTAAAGGTTAGATATCTTGGCAAAAATACTTCATAGATGGTGTGGTGGACTTCATTAGAGGCTATAGTGCCTCTCTTTTTGTTAACACTCACTTATGATCCTGGCATTGGTCCATTAATTCATTAAGGATTGCTAATTACTTTGAATGTTCAATAAACATTGAACCCAAAATAGGGGCAGTTGAAGCTGTTTTCACTGAGAACCAGTGGCCCAGAACCTGGCCTCAATTCATTATTAGAAGGGATTGCACTCTGTGACGCTGTCTTGTGGTTTTAGATAACACAGAATGTTCACAGCTGTCTTTACTAAGTGTTGGTATGCTACGGAGTAGGTGGGTCAGTATTAAAATGATACATATTTTTTTCTATTCTTGCCTTCAGGCTCTTTACATATGTTCATTTTCTCTCAAGAACAGTCTTCTTTTGCTTCCTACTCTTGATTCTTACTGAAAGAAGAGGGGAAATGTCTTCTATTTCTGACTCTGTGTTTGAGCTGCCTTACTTTGATCCATTGTCATACTTTGAGGTGTGACACTTCACCTTGTTCCTTTAGATAGGGAGTGCCCACCCCTGCCCCTCAGCTTAGGCACTAGTAGGTGTCAATCCTAAATAATTAGCTTAATACATTGAATATCCCTGACTTGTTGGAATTTTAGGTCTTCCTTTAGTTAAAAACACTTTTTAAAAAAAAAACTACCTTGTCAAGTAAAACAAAACCCTGAGTGGTATATGATATTTTAATGTGTATTCGGAAAGTATGGCTTTATGTTACTTATTTTGAACCTTTAAACAAAGAAAAATATTACCCTTTGCTCTTCTCTTCTAGGAAATTCACACAAATGACAAAGAAGCAACGGAAAAGGAAGTAACTCTTCACTTGTTGCCAGGTAACGGTCGTGTTAGCATCAAACCTCATGTGCACCTCAACGCCAGTGATAAATTACCTCATCCCTAGTATTGATTTCATCCAGAGGGCACGTCACAATAATGAGTTGGGCACAAACATCAAGGTTTTTAGTTCCATAACTACACCCGGGTATTACAAATCTACAAAGAATTTTTCTTGTTTCCACTGTCCCCCATACTCGTGAAAATAAACCTGGCAATTGATCATCTCTTTTACAAGCCCTGGTGGCACAGTGGTTAAACGTTTGGCTGCTAACCAAAAGGTCAGCAGTTTGAATCCACTAGCCATTCCTTGGAAACCCCATGGGACAGTTCTGTTTTGTCTTATAGGGTCGCTATGAATCAGAATCAACTCAACGGCAGCGGGTTTTCACAAGCAAGTGAGGCCTTTTTCAGGTTGCTTTACTTTGCCCCAACTGTTACTTGGGTCTCAAATCAGGAAAAGCCCAGTTTTCCAGAGAGCCCTATACCCCCTACTTTATTCCCACTGCCCACATCTGTAGCTACCCTTGGCTAAAGCAGCTGCCTGGGTATCCCAGGGCAAGCCTGGATGGGTGAACTCACCTGTCTGGCTCTGCTTGTGTATCTGAGCACAAGTCCAAAGGATGCTGGTGTTTACCAACCCTGGGTCCGCCAGGGCTTTGCTCTGAGGTCATTATGGAGGAAGCTGTATTGGTTGGATACTTCTGAAATGGGAGAAAGTGACTCTGTGGCTTAATTAAATTTGAATCATTTCTGAATTGAGCAGCAGCAGCTACTTCTTTATATACAGGGATGTCCTGTGAGCTGTGTACTCAGTTGGACTCCCAACTTTTTTTTCCCAATCCAAAATAACTTTTTTTCCCTCTAAGTCTGTTTTAGGTACATTTCTCCCAAACAGTAGGGGTCTCATTCTGGTACTTTTTATTTTATTCCAGTTTATTGGGAGAATAAGAAATGTGTACAGGTTTCTGATTGATCCACCTTCTTTGATAAAATGTATTAGAATCTTGTAACTTTAAAAAAAAAAAGTTTTTAAATTTCAAAGCCTTTTTTCTATAATATATAATGGCCTAAACCTTCGTCCATATATCTTATTGTTTTGCATTTTCTTGGGGTTATAGATTCTGAAATTAACTTTTATATTTACCTTAGTGTTAACATATTCTACCATCACCTGGGTTACCTGATGGTCTCGCCTAAATGTGCAGCTTTGAGTGCACAGTTAACTTCTCTGAACCTCAGTTTCCTAGACTAAGATCTTTCCAGTTCCCAAGTTCCATGGTTCCAGACTCTGTATGTGGTACACACGAGTTGATAATAGCGCACCAGCATGCCACGCTTGCAGAGAGTCTCACCAGGGAATGTTGCCGTAGCTCCTGTGTGCTAATTTCTAGTCTCCAGTGTACATTGACCACAAGATAGGGCCTGCCTAGTTTTGAGAGGGAGTCTCAATATTAAAAAACTGTTTCATGTTGGAAACTTTAAACACAGGAAGCCTTGCTCACATGTCTTCCACCTTGGACTTAGCTGAGGCACTTTTTCTGGGCCTATTTTAAACCCCAGTGAGGCCCTAACACCATTGTTTTCTTCAAACTCTGAGGTCTCTCTAGAGGCTAGCCTGATGATTGAGCCAGCTTCCAGTATTTCCTTAAGAGTTTCAACCAGAGGTAGTTAACCCTTTGAAAGATGGAAAACAAATTCAATAACTTGTGTCCCTTGATAGTCTTCGTGTCTAAAACTCTTCTCTGTTTTCATGTTGAAAGTTAGATTCAGTCAATTTTGAGCCAAAAGTAAATGTGAAGGCATTGAAGGAGGTATCCAGAAGGAGATTCCAAGGGGAGGGGAAGATGGTTAGCTTTTCTTTTTCGCTGGATAGTTTTTACACTTAGTTTTCATTTCCCCCACATCTTTTTTTCCCACCCTCACCCAGACATCCAGCACTCATCACCTTCTCTGCTTCCAGGGAGCAGAGTACTTACTGTCCTCGGTCCTACCCTTTTTGACTGTGAAGAGAAGCCCTCTCTGCCTCCAGGAAAGGCAGCTTCTCCTGTCTGCTGGGTGCCTGCAGATAGAGCAGGAAACGTGACACAGTCACAGGAAATTCTCTAAACTAAGAAAGAGAGGAAACCATTTTTTTTTCCCACAAACCTCTGACGTCCTTTTTCCTCCCATCTTTGTCTCTGGAGCCAAATTGAGGGTGGCTGTACCGCAGAAGATTGCAGCGCCTCTTGTGCGTGAGGAAGCTGCCTGAAAACTCTGTAGCCAAGGAGATAGGCCGCTCTATTTTAGCAATCCCAAAGTTAGAAATGGCACTCTCACGGGAAAGTGGGCCTGGAATCGACATTAGAGAGCACGCTGGCAAGCCTTTCCGTTTCCACTCACTTAGGGTGTTACGTCTGTGGGACGTCTGCTTGGGTCAAAGTTATAAAAGCCCTAAGATCTGTGCTTGAAAGTGTAGCCGAGGTCATTACCACCTATTTGGAAACGTCCGTTGTTCACAGTGAGAAGATAGAGAAATGCCCAGTGTGAGGGTGGATCTGAGCCATTTTGATTTTGCTTATTGGTGGTCCCTGCTCTGCTTTATCTTTCTCTCCCAAGCTTTGCAGCCCCTGCCATGCTGGAAAGTGTAAAGTTCTGAAGTGCTGCTTGTATTGTGTGTGTGTCCTTATGTATATAGTGCCAGAAAGCTTTCAGTGTTTTCGTACCACATGTTCCCTGAGGACTCTAAGGAGGACTTGTTTTCGTTTCCATCAGGTGAGCAGCTGCTTTGTGAAGCCAGCACAGTACTGAAGTACGTCCAGGAGGATTCATGTCAGCGTGGGATTTGTGGGAAACTTGTCTGCACAGACTTCAAGATTGCTTTCTTGGGCGATGATGAATCTGCATTGAATAATGATGTAAGTATGAGCTGCTTGGCTGACTTTGGGGGAAACAGTGCAATTGTGGCTCCAATATATTTCTTCCCAGCTTCCTAATTACCCACAACACACATGAGCACAAAGGACAAAAGCCCTTCTCACCACTGGTCCTGCTCCCTACCCCTCAGAATGTCATTTCAGTAGCAGGACTATTCTAAACTTTCCCACCTATGCCTTATGTCACTCTGCCTTGCATTTGGCTTCAGAGGCTGGCACTGTCAACTTTTTCTTATTTTCTTCTGTATTTCACTATAGTGTATATCACTTATTGGGAAAATACCTCCCCAAACATACTAGTTCCTCATGCTTTGTCTATGCTAAGCTCTTCCTCAAATTCAGGAACTGAGTTTAATAATGAAATCGCTGCTGACTGCAGCACTTGAAGTTGGGTTTACTTTATGTTAACCTAGTCTGAAGCTAATAGCAGTGTCCCAGTAAGACTTAACCTCTGTTATAAAGAGTAAGCAGTCGAGTAAGGAGAACAATGTACGTTAATGGAAACCCAGCCAAGGCACTTTCTGGCTCCAGGGTGTTAGCTATCCCTGACCACCATTACTTCTTAAACAGCAGCACCATTGCTGCTTCAGAGTGTGGTCTTCTGTGCTGCTGCCCACTGTAGGGCCTTGGTTCCTAGTCCTATACAAAGACAGCATTTGCCAGACGCTTGAATCACCCAGTGTTTTCTCCCTAAAGATGGCTTCAGGTGGCTCCGTGAGTCACCTACCTGCATTTATGTGGAAAAATGTTAACCTGCATCTCACTTGTCAACACCTCTCAAACTGATGGTGCGTGGAATGGGAGGTTCGCCCAGGAGCATCCCAGAAATGGCGTGTTCTGCCTGGGTTGAAAAACTAGTGCTCGCACACTTTTCTCGCATGCTTCATCACCCGCCTCTTAGGGATGGGACTGCATTTCCTCATTTTTCTTAATGTGCAAGTGGAGAATTAGTGCTCTGCTTGTAAATGGATAACAGTGCATAGAAAGGAGTTACAGTTGCTTTCTTTTTGAATCTTTTAGGAAACTCAGTTTAAGAATAAGGTTATAGGAGAAAACGACATCACACTCCACTGTGTTGATCAAATTTATGGAGGTAAGTTTCTTTTCTTCCCTGGGTTGTTGTCATCATTTGAAAGTATATCTGATGATGATGATGATATTTTTATGGTCCATTATTAAAAACCCGATTGCTGTCAAGTCAGTTCGGACTCATGGTGACTCCAGGTATGTCAGAGTAAAACTGTGCCCCATAGGGTTTACATTGGCTGATTTTTTCAGAAGTAGATTGCCGGGCCTTTTTTCTGAAGCACCTCTGGGTAGGCTTGAACCTCCAGCCTTTCGGTTAATGGCGAAGTGCATTAACTGTGCCACCCAGGGGCTCCCTGGTCCTTTATAGTTTACTAAAAAAAATTTTTTTACATATATTATCTTGTTTAAATCAGTTTCATAGTTGAGAAAATTGAGAAGTGACTTGTTTGGAGTCACTTAGTTTGGGGAGCTTGGACTTGAACTTGGAACCTGTTCTTTCAAATACTCGACAATGCCATTATGTGTTAGATGTTGATTATACTACTACTCTCAGTGTTAGCTGTATAGGTTTTACTTTAAAGGCTAATCTGATAAAGGCCTGTTGTATTGCATCAGGATGTGTTTTCTGCTGACTAAATAAGCCTCTCCTGCCAAGCCTCTCTCTACTCCACTTTTCTATTTTTGTATTAGGACCTTTTCAGAAATTGTTCGGTAGCCATTTATGATGTTCTTAATACTAGCAGGTGCTGAGTGTTTCCATACTCTGGGAAAAAGAGGGAGGTCTCAGAAGGGGACCCAGCTATAAGCCCAGAAGTTGACTGTCCAAAGAAATTATGTCCCTGGTGATCTACCTTCTGTCTTTTGTAATCACAGTTTCATATCGCTGGAATCAATTCTGCCAACAATGGCCAATCCGTTTGGCCTTGTGCTTGCTCTAAAGGCACGATGAACCCTAACTTACTCTCAGAGAGCCCGAGCCCCTGCTGGGTGGGACTGGACCCCTGCTGATGGTAATTTGGAGGTAGATAGTACCTTTCCTCTCACTTTTGAGAGATATCCTTAACAGTTAATAGTCAACCTTGTATCTTTAGCATTGACTTGTTGCCTTACAACTTAATTTCCTTTTGTGATTTCATCATTGATCTGCAGTGTTCGATGAGAAAAAAAAAACTCTCTTTGGACAACTGAAGAAATATCCTGAGAAACTCATCATCCATTGCAAAGACCTCCGAGTATTTCACTTTTGTCTGAGGTACACGAAGGAAGAGGAAGTCAAAAGGGTAACTAATTGAATATGTTTTTAGGTTTTATTTCTCATCAGACTCTAGTTTCTGCTGAAGGTTGAGAGGAGACTTTACCTCTGTAAAGTTAAAGTTGGTTATAATTCCATGTGCCTTGATTAGAACATGAGAGGTAACTTGGTAAATGATGCCTGCATATTAGCTTAGCACATGCTACCTTTAATCCTTCGGTCTATAGTGGTTTTTATTCCCTGAGCCCCTGAAGAGTGGGAGGTGGTAGCCAGAGTCAGGAGGCAGTTGTAGAAGAATGGAACATCATCTACAAGTAACACTCTTCTTCCACCTCTGACAGCCTTTCCAAAGGACAGTAGCAGTGACCCCCAAGCCCTGTGAATAAACGAGTTTATATTTGGGAGTAGTAGTTTTGTGTGAGTAGGTATACAGGTCAGATGAGCAAAGCTGATTCATCCAGTGAGGCCTGTGCTTTGGGAGATCACATAAACTTAATCCCCTGATGTCAGAGCAAACTGAGATGTCTAACGGGGCAAACTCAGAAAGTGGCTGTACCAATGTGATGCTCATTGTAACTTCCAAGGTTTCTCTTATCAAGGATATTGAGCATTTCAAACTTGCTAGTGTCATGCTAAATATATCAGGGGGAAACCTAGCAAGAGGCCAGTCCATATATGTTGTCTTTGGTTACAGAGAGCTTTGCACACGTAGAAGTAACTCCTAATTTTCTTTGAGATAGTATGGTAGTTCATTTAGAATAATAAACATGACTCTTGGATCTAGTCTGAATTTCAGGGAAAATTCCCTGAGAAGCCAGAAAATTCATTTTAAATGATGGGTTTAGTCGTCTGTCCAAACATACTTTTGTTTGGAACTTCAAACAGAAAGCATGATAGATTGATTTTTTTTCTTAATTGTCTGGCAGAAGGTTTTAAAGCGCACAGCAAGTGGGATAGGATAGTTAAATGTCTTGGTTATTATCTGATATTGGCTGTAAGTCTTTGACATGCCAGATTTTTGGAGTATCTGACTTAGAGCACTTAAGTTTTTTACCACCTTGTCTGAGAAATTGTTAATTAAATAAAGTTTACATTTCAAGTTAGACTCCCATACAGAATTTTCTTTTTTCATACATTGTTATGAAACCCCAACCCCTCACCCCATTCTGTGACAGCGCACTCCTCCTCTCTGCCCCTGATTCCCCATGAACATTTAACCAGCTCCTAACCCTCTCTGTCTTCCCATCTCACCTCTGGACAGAAGCTGCCCCTTTGGTCTCTTGTATCTACTTGACTAAGAGGCACATTCTTCACAAGTATCACTTTATGTCCCACAGTCCAGTCCAATCCCTGTCTGAAGAGTTGGCCTCGGAAATTGTTTTAGTTCTAGGGTGATAGAGAGACCAAGGGCCATGCTTTCCAGGGTGCCTCCAGTCTCATTCAGACCATTAAGTCTGGTCTTCTTACTAGAATTTGAATTCTGCATCCCATCGTTCTACAGTTCCATCAGGGACCCTCTGTTGTGTTCCCTGTCAGGATGTTCATTGGTGGTAGCCAGGCACCATCTAGTTCGTCTGGTCTCAGGCTGATGAAGTCTCTAGTTTATGTGGCCTGTTCGGTCTCTTGGGCTAATACTGTCCTTGAGTCTTTGGTGTTCTTCGTTCTCCTTTACTCCAAGTGGATGGGACCAGTTGATGCATCTAAGATGGCCGCTTGCAAGCTTTTAAGACCCCAGACACCACTCACCAAAGTAGGATGCAGAACATTTTCTTAATAAGCTTTGTTACGCCAGTTGACCTAGATGTCCCCTGAAAGCATGGTCCCCAGACCCCGCATCCCTGCTACTCTGTCTTTCAAGGTATTTGATTGTATTGAGGAAACTTCTTAGCTTTAGTTTAGTCCAGTTGTGCTGGCTTCCCCTGTAGTGTGTGCTGTCCCTCCCTTCACCTAAGATGATTCTTACCTACTATCTACTTAGTGAATAACCCTCACCCTCCCTCCCCACCCCCGTAACCATCAAAGAATGTTTGAAATTAGATTGTTTTTTAAATTTCCCTAGAAATTCAAAGCTCTTATAAAACCTGACAGAATGGTTAGCTTTCTCTTTATTTAGCATTATCCCGAGATAAAACTTCATAGCTACAGACAGACCTCAGCGAGAGATAGCAGTCCTTAGGAGCCACATTGCTGCTGTTGCAGACAGCTTTGCTCATCTCTTTTAGTGTTTATTTGTTAAAATCACAACTGTATCGAGTCTTGAGGGCTTAATTAATTACTTTGCATTGATTGGCTCTTTCCTAGATTGTCAGTGGCATAATTCATCACACTCAGGCTCCTAAGCTGCTTAAACGATTGTTTCTGTTTTCCTATGCAACTGCCTCACAAAACAGTACAGGTAAGTGTCTTCTGGGTTTTAACTTTTCTTTTATTATTTTATTGTGGTAAAAAAATATATATCAAAACATTTGCCAATTCAACAATTTTTTACATGTACAACTCAGCAGTATTGATTATGTTCTTCATGTCGTACAACCATCACCACTATCCATTTCCCAATTATTCCACCACCATTACCACAAACTCAGTCTGCCCTAAGCAACGACTCCCTCTTTCCTCCTTCTTCCCACCCCTGATAGCCACTAGTAAACTTTGGTCTCTGTACATTTGCCTGTTCTAGATATTTCATGTAAGTGGGATCTTACTCTTTTGTGACTAAGTTAGTTCATTCAGCATGTTTTCAAGGTTCATCCATGTAGCTTGTATCAGTACTTGGTTTCTCTTTATGGCTGAGTAGTATTTCATTGTGTACATACCACATTTTGTTTATCTATTCATCTGTTGATAGGCATTTAGATAGTTTCCACCTTGTCTTCTGGGTTTTGATTTGAGGGTAGGCAGGACCCTTCCCATTCATCCCTGAAACTGGTGGGGGAAAGCCCATTCAGAGGTTTCTCTTTCTGTCTTTCCTCTCCTCTAGCAGTTGGTCACCGCTTGGTTAGGTGATTCACTCAGAAGGTTTCTGGTTTTTTTTTTTTTCCCCTCCGGTAATCTTTGTTGCTTTAACTCTATCCTTTACGTTTGTTTGCTTTTTTTTAAGGGTTTGTTTGTATATTTGCTTCTTATGAAAGATAAAATCAACATATTATAACTGGGAATGTGCGATTATAGCGTAACAAAATTGAGATAAGTTTAAAATAAAGTTTGAAACAAGTTGAAAATAGCTGTTTGTACCTGAGTTCCTTGTTCTACTTCAATATACTTGATTTCATTTCTTAAGGCTCTAGAGAATGTCTTGCATTCTAGAAAGTTTTTAAACAACCAGAGTATGCTTTATAGCAAATATTTGGTGACAAATGAAACAGTTGTACATAAGAAAGCACATCAGAAAACTAGTTAGTAAGAGAAAACTTAAATTTGCAAATGTTTCCCATTCATTTTACTAAAAAAGGGAAAAATCATTTAAGTAAGAAATCTTGGTCATCTGAATTAGCTATTGGTAATGCCTAGCAGTGTACAGTGTATTTACAGATGCCCGTCTTCTTCCTTCTCTAGTTCTCTTCCTGGCTTGATTGTCCTCCTGAGTCTGTTCACTTGCTCTGCCTGTTACTCTTAACATGAATTTGATGTTTAGTGATCCAGTGTGCCATGTGCTTTTTGTCAGGGAAATGTGACGTTAGTTTAAAAGTATAGATAAGATTTTCTGAAATGTAGAGTTGCTTTGTTACTAACTGCTCCTTTAGGCTCTGTGGGGATATGGAGGTTTACAGGATTTAATCTGTGCTCTCAAGGAGTATAAAGTAGGAGAGGCAGCTGCGTGAGGTGTCTTCTGATGGAAGGGGCCATGGGAGCAGAAAGGAGGAAGTGGCTGACCATGCTGGGGGAGGGAGGACTGTCAGAGAGAGAAGCCTGTGCCTAAACTGATAGTGGAAGGATGTAAGTGTATTTTAGGCAGAGAGATTGTCATGTACAAAGATACAGATACCTCAAAAGAGCATATTGCGTTTTGGGAACAGTGGCAATTTAGTAGAAAAAGTATGGGTGTTGGGGTCTGTCTCAAAAAAAAAAAAAAAAACCAGTTGCTGTTGAGTCAATTTGATTTTTTGGAAGTAGATTGCCAGACTTTTCTTCCAAGGCACGTCTGAGTGGACTCGAACTTTGAACCTTTTGGCAAGCAGCTGAGTGCGTTAACTGCACTACCCAGGGGTCTGTCTCACCCAAGCTCAAATCCTTGCCCAGCTGTTTACTAGCTGTGTGATCCTGGGGGTGACACTGTTGGGACCTCCATTTTCTTTTTTAAAACAGTAGCTTTAATGCTTACCTTGAAGTTTTGTGAGAATATGTTGTTAAATGCATGGCACGTAGTGTATAGTCATTAAATGATAGTTAATATTATTAGTTTAGTATGGCTTGGCAACATGGGGAGCCCTGGTGGCACAGTGGTTAAGAGCTACAGCTGCTAACCAAATGGTTGGCAGTTCGAATCTACCGAACTCCTTTGAAGCCCTATGGGGCAGTTCTACTCTGTCCTGTAGGGTCGCTATGAGTTGGAATCGACTTGATGGCAATGGGTTTGGTTTTGGGTTTTAGGCAACAGGGTACATACGGCAGGGAAATCGTAGAGGCTGAGGCTGGAGAGGTTGGTGGAATCAGATAATGACAGGGCTTTTTGCCGCACGTAAAAATGGTGTGGTGGGGTGTCTGACCTGCTCTAACTTCACAAGGGGGTAAGAGAGTCAAGATAACAGCCTGAGAGTGATTCTTATAGGTGGAGGTCAGACATGCCTCCATCCTCCAACCTTTTTACCAGTTCTGACACCAACCATCCCTCCCACAGCACTTTCTACTTATTTGCTGGGTTCGATAATTTGTTTCAATGGGCATGCATAACTCACAGATAATACTTACCATTATGAGGTTTATTAGGGAAGTAACAGGTTGTACAATTCAGGTTCAGGAATGCTCAGGATACAGTTCTTCCATCAGGGCAGCCTCTTGTCAGCTGTGCCTGCAGGCACACCTCTATCTGGCCCCTCAGGCAAGTGTTTAAAAAAAAGCTCTTTTAGCTCTGCCAGTAAGTGCCGGGAGGCACCCCACTCACCTGGAAGCCTCCTGTTTGAAGGCTGTCAGCTCTCTCACTCTGTGGGTAGGCACACCCATGTAACCGCCTTGCTCTGTGGCTAGGAAGCCCACCACATTGTCTTCCTGCTGGTCTCCTGAGTTTGGCTGCTTCTGCTGCCGCCGTTTCTCTGCCACTGCTTCTCGCCATCTCTCACTGTCTCCAGTGTTACAGCTCTCTCTCCCTCTCTGTCTCCTGGGTCTAGGAGGTCTCAGCACAGGGATCCCAGGTCCAATGGACAGGCTTCACTCCTAGCTCTTCTTTCTTGGTGGTAGTAGGTCCCTCTCTGCCCTGGGATTGACTACTCTTTGAAGCCTAGCAGGATGGCAGAACTGACCAGTCCCCTTATTAGGGTTCCATACACCTTATTTGCAGGGTCCCACCCCTACAAGGGTACCATGCACCTTATTTATCATTAGCAAGCTATTCAATCCTCTTGGGGGGCCACAGGCACCTCATTTGCATAGTCCTAACCCAGTCATTTGGTGGGAGTTACAAGGACTGGCTAGAAGGGCCATATTGAGTACTTCACTGTACCACACCACACAAAGGGGATAGTGCTCGTGAACAGTTAAGAGACAAAGCGCTTTATAAAATAGCAGTTAGCTCAGTAAGAGGCAGCTTCAGTAATGGGAGAGAGATGACTCAGGGCCTCAGCTAACAGAGTACAGAGAAAAGAGGAAAGTAAGAGTCAAGATTTAGGAGGTAGAATTGATAGAACTTGATAACTGGGGGAAGAGGGCATGTAGTACCATGTGTTAATTTTGTGGTTTTGAAAATATAAAGAGGTGAAGAAGAATGTAAGGATGACTTCCAGGCTTTTGGTTTGGTTCATTGGGTTGATGATAGTACCATTTACTCAGGGAATATTAGAAACAGGAGCTTTGGGAGCAGGGGAAGCTATGGAGTTCCATTTTGAACATACTGAGTTTGAGGTATTTGTGACATATTCAGATGTCCAGTAGACAGCCTGGGCCAAGAAAGAAAGATTTAGAAAAACCCAGAGTATAGATAGCAGTGCGGTTGTTACGTGACCTAGAAATTATCATCTAAAAAGAGTTAGCTTAAGGCTATAATTTCAGTTATTAGTCATTTCTCTTCCTTTCGTATGGTAAAATGAGATCTTTGAAATTTTTAAGGAGATAATTAAGCCAGGAGAAACAACAAATAATTTCGTGTATAACTTGGGTAAAGCCTGATGATTAACCTCTAGCATGAATAATGAGAAATTTAGCAGTTAATGCAATTGCCAAGGAAGAGTATGTGGACTGAGAGGGAGCACACACATTTCAGGGACAGGTGGAGAAAGAGAGCCCTGAGGTGGGTCCAGAGATGTAGGAGGAAAGCCAGGAAGGAGGAAACTAAGTTCAAGAAGGAGAGGGTGTTCCGCTGAGTCACAGTCTGCAAATAAAAGAAGATAAGAATTTAGTAGAGACCATTGGACACAGCAGTTAGGAAGTCATTCATAACTTTAGCAAGACCCATTTCAGCGGACTTGGAGACTGGCGGGAGGCAAATCAGATGGAAGTGAATTGAGAAGTAAATGGAAGCTAAAGAAGTAGAAGCAATGTATGTACACTCTGCTTTCTGCTTTCGAAGTTTCATTGTAGAAGACTAGAAAGAGAAGGCAGTGGCCAGAAGGGGGCCATAGCTGCAGGTACAGATCATTGTTTCTAGGCCTCAGTTTCCTAATCTGTAAAGTAAGGAGCTTGGGCTAGAGTATTCTAAAGATTTAATCCAGTTGTAAAAATCTGTGATCTATTTGAGTTAGCTTTTGTTACGGAAGGAAGTGTTCTGGTTAATACAGAGTATGTTGTTGTGTGTGCTGTGAAGTCGATTCTGACTTATGGCGACCCCATGTGACAAAGTAGAACTGCCCCATAGAGTTTCCTAGGCTGTAACCTTTAAGAAGCAGATTGCGAAATCTTTCCTTCTGAACAGCTGGTGGGTGCATCTGAACCACTAACCTTTCGGTTAGCAGCTGAGCACTTAAACATTAAGCCACGAGGACTCCTTAATAGAGAGTATGACTGTGTGTTATTCAGGATGGCTTATGTTCAGAAAATTACACTCATATAAAATACACTTAGCACTAATGTTGAACATTAGTTGAACATAAAATATGTTTCTTAATTCAGCAAGTTCATCTTTGTGAATGCAGTCTTTTTACTGAAGTTGTGTGTACAAGTGCTAATTGGGTGCTGGTTTGCAGATTGTTGCAATATGAGATATATAAATAGGACTTCTTTGTTGATCACTGTAATTCATATAAATATTTTTTGGGTTTACATTTGAGTAATTATGCTGTATTTTTAGAAATTCTGTCCCTTCCTTATATCCTGCATCCTGGTTTGGACCCAGTGAAGGACTGTTTCTCGGCTGGCCGAAATATGTTGATTAGTGTGCCAAAACCCTTACCTTGATTGACCCTGGCAGTGTTACTACTTCGTGGTGGCTTTTTGTGCCAGAAGGCACAGCATCTCTTACTCTATTTTAAATCCGTCTTTCCTCTCATTTCCTCCTTCCAACTCCTAATTTTTTGAGAAGGAAAGGTTATAACTGATAGATGCTAATTGACCAGTTAGCTTTTTCATTGAGTAGGGGTTTGTAGAGGTGGGTTCTTTGCAGTCGTAACATCTTCTTTAATTATTCCCTGGCCTAAAAATTCACAAACGTGTTGTTTTGGCTGAAAGATTCTAAACCCTTATGCTGTTGCATTCTAGGGAAGGCCCTGCTTATATTCCTAAGGAAGTGGTTATCTTTTATATCCATAGGGAATTACTATTTTTGCATTTAGTATTTTATGGAAATTTCATTTATAGCTGCCTGGGTTTGAATTCCAGTTCTGCCATTGATTAGCCCTGTAACCTTGGGCAAGTTACTTAACCTTTCTGTGTCACATCTGTAAAATGGAGAAAATAATACTACTTACCTATAGGGTAGTAAAGATTGAGTTAATAAAATGTAATATGATTAGAACAGTGACTGGCACATAGTAAGTGCTTTATAAGCATTGTTGTTGTTGTATACTGTCGAGTCTGTTCCAACTCATAGCGATCCTATAGGACAGAGTAGAACTGCCCCATAGAGTTTCCAAGGAGCGGCTGGTGGATTCAAACTGCCAACTTTTTGGTTAGCAGCCGAGCTCTTAACCACTATGCCACCAGGGCTCCTTACAAGCATTAACTACTATTATCATCATTATTCTTATTATTATCATTTATGCTATGATCTGGTTTTACTAAATGCATCAGGTGGGGGTTTTATCAAACACTTTGTTTTTTCCGGACGCTTGGTATTTTAGATGTACAAAAGGCTTGAACTAACTGATTTGTGATAGAGTTTGTGTAAATATCTGAGACTGTTATGGTATGTGTCACCCCCAGCAGGCAGAGCTGGACCACAGAGCGTTTCCTCCTAGCAGGTAGTGGCTGGGCTGTGTTAGGCGCAAGAGTGCCGGCCACCACGCTGTAGCCCATGGAGTGCTGACCCTCACCCCGGCTGCCTGATTTATTTATGACCGTTAATAGCCAGGTGTCACATTGGAAAATCCCTTTGTTGGCAGTACAACTTCAAATTGAAAGAACATTTACATTTAAGAACCTGGCATACTGTTCAGATAAATTTACTGGCTTATGCACATACTGTGAGGGCTAAAAATATTTTATTATTTTAGCATTTGTGCCAAGCTGTCTTTTAGTGCTTCACAGGATCTTTTCTGTGTTATATAAATTATCTCATGGTCAGATGACTGAAAATGAAGCTATAAATTGCTTTTACAAGGAATGGAACAAGGACAGTTCCTTTCCTACTATATAAAAAGACAGAGCCTTAATCAAAATTTTGGATTAGTTAAAAAAAAAAAAAAGTTAGGATTAAGCAGTGAATTCATTCTGCTTAGATAAAAATGGGCTTAGTGGTGGAAACTGGGGCCTAAGGATCCACCTTCACATAATTAAAACACTAGTACTTAAGAAAATATTTTATTGTCTTTTTAATTTTGTTTTGTTAGCCACAGATACCAAGAATCATACTGTAATGTTCAACACACTTAAGGACTGGTGTTGGGAGTTGGAGCGGACCAAAGGCAGCATGAAGTACAAAGCAGTGAGTGTCAATGAAGATTATAAAGTCTGTGAAAGGTAAGATTTCAGTACTGTTGCTTTTTGCTAAACAGCTTTATTGACATACAATTCATATGCCATAGAGTCCACCCAGTGTACAGTGTTTCATAGCATAGTCACAGAGTTGTGCAACCATTATCACAGTCAATTTTAGAACATTTTCACTATGCTAAAAAGAAACTCTGTACGCATTAGCAGTCACTAATCATTTCTTCCCAACCTCCTCTCCCCTTCAGCCCTAGGCAACTACTGATTCACTTCTGTCTCTATAGATTTGCCTGTTCTGGACATTTCTTATAAATGGAGTCATATACAGTCTTCTATGACTGGCTTCTTTCATTTAGCATAATGTTCTCAAGGTTCATCCATATTGTAACATGTATCAGAACTTTACTCTTTTTCATTGCCAAATATTCCGTTGTATGGATATGCCACATTTTATTTAGCCACTTGTCAGTTGACGGGTATTTGTGCTGTTTTCACTTCTTGGCTATTATGAATAATGCTGCTACAAACACTTCTGTACAAGTTTTATGTGGATGTATGTTTTCATTTCTCTTGGGTGTATAACCGAGGAGTAGAATTGCTGGATCATGTGGTAACTCTGTGTTTAACTTTTTGAGGACCTGCCAAACTGCACCAGTTTACCTTCCCACCAGCAGTGTTTATGGTTTCCAGTATCTCTGCATCAATACTAACACTTAAAGTAGCTCTAAAATACTCAAAACTAAATGTGTGTTTTTTGTGGGTTTTTTTGGTCATTATTGTGTCTGTAATCCAAGTGTAAAATTTTTGAGTGCCTACTATATGCTGCGCACGCACACAAACACACACACAAACAGTAGGCACTCTAAAATTTTTGTTGAATGAAAAAACGAAGTGCTCAATGAAAAGAAAGAAAATATATAATAAAAAACTTAGAAATGCCTCTAAAGGTTTTACACTTGGATTAAAAAAAACAAAAACAAAAACCAAACCCATTGCTGTCAAGTCGATTCTGACCCATGACAACTCTATAAGACAGAGTAGAATGGCCCCATAGGGTTTCCAGGGAGCGGCTGGTGGATTGAAAGTGCCCACCTTTTGGTTAGCAGCCGTATCACCTAACCACTGCATCACCAGGGCTCCTTACACTTGGATTACAGACACAATAATGACCAAAAAAAAAAAGAGTTTTTTTTTTTTTTACTATGTGCCAGGCAGTATCCCAGCTTCTGGAGATATAGAAGTAAACAGAGACCCTAAATATCCCTGCCCTCATGGAGCTTTCATTTTAGCAGGGGGAAAATGATGAGAGCAGAATAAGTAGGTTATAGTATATTAAAAGGTAATACGTGGCTATAAAAAGACAAAAAACTGCCAACCTTTAGATTAGCAGCTGAACTCTTAACCAGTACACCACCAGGGCTCCAATACATACCGTAGAGAAAAACAAATCAGGCACGGGGGAGAGGAAGCATTGGAGGCGTTGGTGCTGGGGTTGGTCAGGAAGGCCTCACTGAGCAGGTGACCTTTGAGCAAAGACCTGAGGGAACTAAAGGGTTGAATCTGAAGATACCTGGCGGCAGAGCATTCCCAGCAGAAGGTATAGTAAGGGCAAGGCCCTGAGGTGGAATCTTGCTTGGCTTGTGGGAGACACAGCTGAGGAGCCCTGGGGCTGGAGAGGAGCCAGAGAGAAAGAGGGGGAGGTGGTGGGTTGTGATGGCTTTCCTAAGGATTCATAGTCTCTGACTCAGTTCAGTGAAGGGGAGTTTGAGCAGAGGTGTGAACTGATCTGACCTATATTTTTTTAAAGGATGACTCTGCATAATCTGTTTTTAGAAACTTAAATCTATCTTATCATTTTGGAACATGTTCACTAGGGCCCTCCATAATAGTTTCATGTTTCTGATAGGCTTCTAGTTTGATTTTGATCATTCTCAAACATTTACAGGGTTAACCCCCTTGTCTCAGTGTGAGCTAGGATGACAGTGGGGAGGGGCCTATAGGGCAATTGGCATATCACCCCCTGCCCCCACCCATAACTTCACTGTCACCTCCACCCTGCTCCTCCCTTCTTTCCCAGTTATAAAGCTTAAAGGGGAAAGCTAGCTCTTGTTGATAAAGAGGTTGGAAATCCTTGCTCCGAGGAGGTGATGGAGGAGCCCTGGTGTGCAGTGGTTAAGCGCTCAGTTGCTAACTGAACCGTTGGCAGTTGGAACCCACCAGCCACTTCTCAGAAGGATGTGGCAGTCAGCTTCCATAAAGAACACAGTCTAGGAAATCCTATGGGGCAGTTCTTCTCTGTCCTATAGGGTCATTATGAGTCAGAATCAACTGGATGGCAATGGATTTTGTTTGTTTAGGAGGTGATGGGGTCCCTGAGTGGTACAAACAGTTAAGTGCTCGGCTATTAACTGAAAGGTTGGCAGTTTGAAACCACCCAGATGTGCCTTGGAAGAAAGGCCTAGCAATCTACTTCCAAAGATCACAGCCATTGAAAACCCTGTGGAGCATAATTCTACTCTGAAATGCATGTTGTCGCCATGAGTGGGAATTGACTCTATGGCAGCTGGTTTGGTTTTTTTGGTTTAGGAAGTGATAGTTTGTAATGTGATGTTGATAGTGATATAACGTATCCCCATTCCCAGAATTGTTTTTTTAAAGTCCTGTCACATACTGAGCTTTTGTTAAGGGTGATGGAAAAATTCGGGAAAGGTGATGGTTGAACAACATGATGAACGTAGTTAATGTCACGGAACTGTACATGTGAAGATTGTTGAAATGGGAAATGTTTTGCTACCTATGTGTTTACCACAATTAAAAAAAAAGTTCTGTCACATATTAATTAAATGAGCTGGTATTTGCATAGGTCTCGGTGCCTCAAAAATATACCTGATAGAGAAGGCAGAGGGGAAAGCTTTTAACTAATGGTAAATGGTGAGAATGGAGCTTCAGTAAGACTTTGATGCTGGGAACACCCAGTGCAGACACACACTTCTTTGACTGCTCCAGCCGCCCGTCCCCACCCCCACTTTTCTGTTCCTTGGCAATGATACAAGGAAGGCTGTGCTTTATTTCTCACCTAGGCTACTGTGGTAGCTGCCTGACTAGCTCCATTCACGCTAGTCCCTGATCATCCACTTCGTAGACAGCAATCAGAGTGAGCTGCTCCCAGTATGTACCTGATCTTATTGCCTCTGCTTCAGTGGCTTCCCATTGTTCTTGGTACAAAGGACAAAACCCTTAAGGGCACTACATGGCACTTCAAGGTTCGTCTTCTGCCTGAGTCTCCAGTTGTGCATCACAGCTCTCTAGCCATACTGACCTCCCTACCATAGGCCTTGCCTGTGCTGTCTCCTCTCTGGGGTGCTCATTTTGCCTCTAACTGCCCGTGTAGTTAATTCCCCTTCATCTCTTAGAGTGTAGTTCAGGTGTCCCTTTCTTAGGGAGCCTTCCCAAGACAAGATCGGTCTCCTTGTGATGAGTTGTCATTGCGCTGTGTGCCTTCTCTTTGTAGCACTTCCTTCGATTGTGTGTTGATGTATATTTGTATCTCATTTGGTTAATGTTTGTTTCCTCAACCCATTAGCTCTGTAAAAGCAAGGACACTCTGTTTTTGCCGTTCTTTACATCCTCCAAACTAAGCATGTATCTAGCCTATAATAGATGCTCAATAAATAGGAGAAAGAGTGAATAATGAATGCCCTATCAGTAGTTAGAGAGGACCTCAGGCAGGTTGGATAAGCGTAAGAAACTGAGTGTCTATGTCATCTTCCCTCAAGGTCAGAGCTGGCTATTCCACAGAGTCTATTCCTTCTCTTTTCATTCTCCTCCTGAAAAACATTTTCTCTTTCCTACCTCCCTGTGAAGTTATAGGAAGGTACGTAGCCCTGTAGGGTGTGCTTGGGGCCAGTGGTGGTTCATTGGTAGAATTCTTGCCTTCTGTGTGGCAATTTCCAGCCAGTGCACCTCATGAGCAACCACTACCTGTCCGCCAGTGGAGACTTGCATGTTGCTATGATGCTGAATGGGTTTCAGTGGAACTTCCAGATTAAGACAGACTAGGAAGAAAGACCCGGTGATCTGCTTCCAATAATCATCCAGTGAGAAGCAAATGGATCACAGTGGTCCAATCTACAACTGATCATGGGGATGACACAGGACTGGGCAGCGTTTCTTTCCATTGTGCATGGGGCCCCATGAGTCAGGGTCCAACTAAACATCAGCTTAACAACAACAAGGGTGTGTTTAATACGGCGGAACCTATGAAATGATGCCGCAGAGGAAGACATATTGCTGCTCTAGTGTTATGACTCTGAGGCTTTCATCACCCTATCTAAGTTTGTGCCTGAGCAGATCATACAACTTTCTGTGAATAAGGTCATTCTGTATTTGGAGAGGCTGTTTACTGTGTGTTCTGAACTCATCCTAATAACTAAAATGACTACTTTCCTAGGGGCTAGGATTCATTCTTTGTGTGATTTGGGAATCTCATAATAGAGACTCCATAGACTCTACCTAGAGTTAATCGGGATGAGAGAATACATCTTAAACCTCCCTCATTAGCTGAGTGCTGTTCATCTCTGTACAACTTCCTCTGTTGAGTGACTGGATGGTAAATTTGCTAATACGCTTGGTTGTGACTTTTTTTTTTTCTGTGAAAGACTATTTATAAGAGGAAATTAACTGGTTAGTCAGCATTGTAAAATATCAATCTCGCTAATAACGGAAGACATGCAAATTAAAAAAAAAAATGAGGCCCCACCCCAGCTTTATAGACTGAGCCACTGGGGAAGGAGCTGAGAATCTTGTTTACACAACTCCATAGGTGATTCTTCTGTAAAAGTTGAGAACCGGAACAGTAGCCTATTTGTAAGTTACCATTTAGGGACCTGCTTGTCAGAGTTGAATGTGCCTGCATATCACCTGGGGATCTTGTTAAAACGCAGGTTCTGATTCAGTAGGTCTGGGGTCAGACCTGAGAATCAGCTTCCCTTGTAAGCTTCAGGTGATGCTTGCTGGTGCGTACCTTGAGATGCAGGATCTTCTAGAACAATGGTTTTTATCCCGACTACCCTCCTGGAGAGCTTTTTAAAACTGCTACTGCTTGTCCCAATCCCAGAGCTCCTGATTTAATAGTTCTGGGTTGGAGCCTGGACATTGGTGGTTTTTAAATCTCCCCATGTGATTTTAATGAGCAGCCCAAGTTTGAGAGGCATTGATTGATTGAAAGGAGTCTTTCACTTTAGTGACCACACCTCACAGGATACCTTACCCTTTATCCGTTCAAGTGGACATAAAAGAAAATATTCCAGATGCATTAAAACTTCAAAAGCCAAATATTCTGCACGGTTTTGATGGTTTGAGGTATCTTGGCCTTGACCAGTGGTTCCCGAACCTGATTTTACATCACATTCTTATGTGGTTTTCTTTTCTTTTTTTTTTTTTTTTTAAATTTTAGGGATTTTCTCTTAACGTTACTTTTTTTCTTTTAATTGTGATATATATGTATACGTAAATAACAGCATTTGCCATTTCAGCACTCTTCACTTGAGTGTACAATTCAGTGACATTATGTTTATCGTGTTGTTTGACCATCACCATTATCCATTTCCAGATTTTTCCATCACCCTTAGCAGAAGCTTAGTGTCCGATAAGTCCAACTTCTTTAATGGAAAATTGCAAGCAGTATAGAAGAAAAGAGGATATGATGAATTCTTTTGTACGGGCACCCATTTAACAACTAGTGGCTAATCTTGTTTTCTCTATACCTCCACCTACTCTCCCCTGCCCTGGATTATTTTGAAATAAATCCCAGATATCATCATATTTCATTCATAAACATTTTAGTATACATCTCTAAAAATTAAGGACTCTTTATGAACATAACTATAATACCATCATCACACCTTTCAAATTAATGTTAATTCCTTAATACCTTTCAATATCCAGTCAGTGTTTAAATTTTCCCCACTACTTTGTAAATGTTTTAAAACAGTTTATCTTTCATCTGTTTTATCTTTAATCAAGATTCAATGAAATTGTCATCTTACAGTTGATTGATACGTTTCTTAAGTCTCTTAACCTATAGGTTCCCATCATTTTTTCTTGCAATTCATTTGAAGAAACCAGATCATTTGCCTGGTAGAGTTTCCCACAGTCTGGATGTTGATGATCACATCCCATGATGGTGTTTAACATGCTGCTGCATCCCCTGTGAGTTCATTAGATCTAATGGCTTGATCACATTCGAGTTTTCATCTCTACAACTCTGACAATCCATCTTTCCCATGACCCAAGATACTTAACAGATTTACCTCAAATATGCATCATGCATACAAACACCATGTGATTATTTTCTATTGTAGTTCTAACACCATATGCACCTTCTTATTTCTCATGAGACTGTATTTCTAGCTCTCTGAGTGAAAGATGTGTATTGCTGCACAGTGGTAGAACTAGGTAGTTTTTTTTTTTATTAATAGAAATGTGTATTGCTGACTAGAGATGCTGTTATTGGGTGCCATGGACTTGATTCCAACTCCTAGCGACCCCACGTGATAAAGTAAAACTTCCCACAGGGTTTTCTTGGCTGTAATCTTTACAGAAGCAGATTACCAGGTCTTTCTCCCACAGAGCAGATGGGTGAGTTTGAACTACCAACCTTTCCGTTAGCAGCCGAGTGCTTAACCATTGCACCACCTTGACTAAAGATGATGTCCCCATATATCTTTGATCTCCAAAAACCTAATTTTCCCATTTCCTACTACTTAACAGATTTACTAAAAACCAAAATCTTCCCACCTAGGAACTGAAGACAGACTGCTTGGATTCATTTCACAGCTTCATGATATACTTTCTAGTTGTGTAACCTAACCAAAAATCCATTGCCCTCGAGTCGATTCTGACTCATAGTGACCCTATAGGACAGAATAGAACTGCCTCATAAGGTTTCCAAGGAGCAGCTGGTGGATTCGAACTACTGACCTTTTGATTAGCAGCCAAGCTCTTAACCACTGGCGCCACCTGGGCTCCTGTGTAACCTAGGAAGGGACTTCATAGCACTGTGGCTGAGTTTCTTTATCTGTAAAATGGAAATAATAATATATACCTCAGGGTTGTTGAGACAATTAAATGAATAAGATGTGTTCAGTAATTAGAGCAGCACCTGGCACGTAGTATAGGCACTTAGATGTTTCTTATTGTTGTCAGAGCACTTGATAAAATTGTCTAGGCAGTAGTCATCATAATTACTGGTTTTCGTATTAGTCTGACTGAAAGCAACACAGGTGCTTATATTGTTGCTGTATGATGAGAAAGATTACTCTCATATTTTAGAATTCATATGCTTTTAGATATCATTTATTCCAACCCCCTCATTTTATGGGTGAGGAAACAGACCTGGAAAGGTGGAGTAACTTACCTAGAGTTCTGCAGGATTAGAGAGAGCTAGGATTTGAACTCAGATTTCCTGACTAACTTGGCCAGAGTACTTTACACCAAACTTAGCTAGTGCCTCTTAACAGGGAAATATGGTGCTTGTCATAGCACTCTGCTTGGCTTCCTTGTGTTCATTGAAGCTGAGCTTTCATATTTAGTGAATTAACTCTAGTACTAAAATATTGATGTCACTGCTTTCTTCTAGGTTGCCAGCATACTTTGTTGTTCCCATCTCTCTTCCTGAAGAAGATATTCCACACTTTCAGGGTCATGGTATACCAGTAAGTGCATATGGACGCCCTAAGAAGTATGATTTGCTCATTGGCCCATCCTGGCAAAATCATCTTCCTTAAAGCCTTTGGCTTTGGTACTAAAGAGCTTGCCTTCGGTCCAAGAGTGATCCAAAAATATCCTTGTGACTCCCCAGAGATGGTGCTGAAGCCTCTTAAACATGAGGCTCCCTGGGACATAGTTCTGAAGTTTTCACAAATGCGCTTGAGTTTTTAACAGAGACATCTTTAAAAAGCTTTAAGAGGATTACAGATCTGTCTAGTGTTGAAAGCCAGATTTAACACCTAAATCACTTTGAAGCTGAGCCGGCTACTCTAAGGGTAGTAGGACTTAAGATTTCTTTTGGCTGCACTATTAATCTTTGTAGGGGCGTGGTCGAGTTTTCTCCCAAAGTCAACATGGAGTGCTTACTTAGTTTTCACAGAAAAGAATGGGATGGGAGCCGTATTTAATGTGTCACTGATCAAAGAAAGCAAGACTTTGGCAGTTACTCCAGTTTCTAATTGGTGGTTGGGAGTTGCCAAGCCTGCAGGGAATTTAGTAAGGAATGAGAATTACAAATAAATGCTGTGCTGTGCACAGGGCTGGTTCACCAAAAAGGTCACTCCCATATGGGAGGAGGAACATTTAAGCAGCAGTCACATACCCAGGAGCCTGTGGAGGCCAGGCAGGTAGTGAGGGTGGCCTTTGCAGGGAATCAGAGACCCTCCACCTGATCTAGGAGGCAGCTGCTCTTCAGTGCCAGCTGGCTTGTGCCATGTGGGAATATGGGCCTGGTGTTGCCAGATGGTCTGCTGTTTTTTTTTTTAGGAGAAGCCAGAAATAAGAATTTTCATGTGAGCTTTCCTGATTTCTAAATGTATGTAACTGATTTAAATGTTTAAAAAAAACATGTCTTTGGACTGCAGTTGGCTCATGTCCCACAGTTTGCAACCTTTGATTCAGAGCAGTGGTTCTCCGACTTTTTGGTTTCAGGACTCTTTACACTCTTAAAAATTATTGAGGCTCTCAAAGAACTTTTGTTTATGTGGGTTGTATCTATTGATGTTTGCCATATTAAAAATTAAAACTGAAAAAAATTTTAAACATTTATTTATATAAATGATAAAACTTGTTACACGTTAACATAAACAACATATTTTGGTGAAAAATAACTATAATTTCCAAAACAAAAAAAATAGAAGCATTGTTTTATTTTTATTTTTTTATTGTACTTCAGGTGAAGGCTTACAGAACAAATAGTTTCTCATGAAACAGTAGTACACATATTGTTTTATGACATTGGTTAACAACCCCACAACATGTCAACCCTCTAACTTCTCAACATTTTCTTTTGGTGAAAATACACATAGCCAAAGATACACCATTTCAAAAATTTCTACATGCACAGTTCAGTGACATTGACTACGCTCTTCCAATTGTGCTGCTATTCTCACTTAAGATGAAGGCTTACAGAACAAAATAGTTTCTCATTTAACAGTTACTACACATGTCGCCCTATGACAATGGTTAACAATCTCACAACACATCAACAATATCCTTACTCAACCTTGGGTTCCCTATCACCAGCTTCCTTGTCCCCTTCTGCCTTCTGGCCCTTGTCACTGGACTACTGTGCCTCATTAGTCCCATTTGGTTTTACGGGGCTGTCCACTCCCAGGCTGAATGGTGAGCCTCGGAGATAACTTCACCACTGAGCTAAAAGGGTGTCTGGGGGCCATACTCTCGGGGTTTCTCCAGTCTCCTTTAGGCCAGTAAATCTGGTCTTTTTTTTGTGAGTTAGAATTTTGTTCTACATCCTTCTCCAGCTCTGTCCAGAACCTTCTGTTGTGATCCTGGTCAGAGCAGTCAGTGGTGGTAGCCGGGCACCATCTAGCTGTACTGGACTCAGTCCTGTGGAGGCCTTGGTAGCTGTGGACCATTAGTCCTTTGGACTGATCTTTTCCTTGTATCCTGTTCTCTTCATTCTCCCTTGCTCCCGAAGGGATGAGACCAGTGGAGTATCTTAGATGGCCGCTCACAGGCTTTTAAGACCCCAGACACTACTCACCAAGGTAGAATGTAGAACATTGTCTTTATAAACTGTGTTATGCCAGTTGAGCTAGATGTTCCCCGAGACCATGGTCCCCACAGTCCTCCACCCAGCAATTCACTCCCTCAGGGAGTTTGGATGTATCTGTGGGGCTTCCATGAAAGTGGAAGAGAGCTGCATTCTCACATCTGCTTCTTGCATTCAGTCTGTCATGGTATGTCAGGTTTGGTTGAAGTACATGAAGGAAATTTGACCTCACACAGATATGTAATTGGAAAATGGAAGAGTATTTAGTAGCTTTTTCAGATAATTGTGAATATTATTGTCCTTTGATGTATACAAAAAAATTGGTAAGTGGCAGTATCATAAAAGTTAGTTGTAGTAAGGAATCTGAAAACATTTCAATGAACTTTTCATTCTGTGTCACATTAAAATCCGTTGGTCTGTCTTGGACTTTGAATTGATCTTAAAACATACATGATTTTGTAAACATTATGCATTGGTCATTTGGAAAACATTGGTTTCACTGGGTTATACAGATCTTCCAGATATTGACACATTTCATTATATAACAGCATATAAAATCACATTCTTTAATATTACCCCCATTTCATCAGAAAAGTCTTTAAGTATTGGGAAGGAAACTGTCCAGCTACAGTAGTAGATACGAGTCTTCCAAAATTCTAGTTTTTGCATAGAAGTTCAATTTTTATCATTGGCAACGATTTGTCAGTTGTTTTCTTTTAAGTGACAGGCTCACTTCATTTTTTAAAGAAAATATCTGCCAAATACTAAAGTCTGAATACCCATGGTTTGTCTATCAGTCATTCTTTTAAAAGCAGCTAGTTCTGCTCTCAACTCTCAACAGTTACATAAGTGCTTTTCCTTGAGACAAACATTGTACTTCAGTGCTTGCTTCCCGTTTCATCACACAAAATATTAAAAAGCCATGTAATGGTCAAGATTAATAAAATTAATGATTTTCAGGCCTTCATCAAGGACATTCTCAAGTGAAACAGAATTTTTTTTTCATTTCTAGTGCATGGGAGTGAAGAACATTGACTACCTGTACAGAACTGGTACTTGACTTGTACTAAGCTGCCAATGGTTTTACCCACCATTACTTTTGCACCATCACTGCAAATGTCAACATAGTGAAGATGGCAGATTTTATCGTAATATTACTATGAAAATAGTTTTGACCTCTTAGACCATATAAAAGGGTCTTGGGAGCCCCCCACAGGTCTGTAGACTACACTTGGAGAATTGCTGTTCTAGAGGAATGAAAACAAGGGTCACTATCCTTCAGCCTTTCATAGATGAGTCTGGGGAAGGAGCATGTGCTCTGTGAGAAGAAACAAAGATGAATTGCCTTCATATGTGGAACAGGATGCTTCTCCATCCCTACATTGTATAAAATTTACCCTACTCTGTGTTCCACCCAGGCCTTGGGGCTGAGAAGTAGAAAAATGTTCTGTTAAGACCCAAGTGAGGAGTGAGCAGCATAACTTTGATAAAAACTATAGGAAGGTATTCTTGCTTTACTGAATCTGCCTCAATTATATGTTCTGAAAGTCATTAGTAGTATTTGTGTGAATAAACAGCCCAAGAACATCACACAAGACAGAATTTAAACATTTACTCAGGGAACACAGAACTCTCATTTAATCAGTCAGTCTCCCTCTCTCCTGGCCTTTTTTTTTTTTTTTTGATGTAAGATTGTCATTCAGCTAGAACATTAAGATCACCAAAAGTTATCTTAAGTGAATTTTGTATTTGACGTTGGTGAAATTATATACCTTAACCTGGAAAACCCAGTCATTTAAATATTGCATCCTTGTACCACTGTAACCCACCACATGTCTGACAGTGTGTCATACTGTGGTGGCTTGTGTGTTGCTGTGATACTGGAAGCTTTGCCACCGGTATTTCAAATACCAGCAGGGTCACCTTTGGTGGACAGCTTTCAGCAGAGCTTCCAGCCTAAGATTAGGAAGAAGGACGTGGCAGTCTACTTTTGAAAAAACTGGTCAATGAAAACCTTATGAATAGCAGCGGAACATTGTCTGATATAGTGCCGGAAGACGAGCCCCTCAGGTGGGAAGGCACTCAAAATACGACTGGGGAAGAGCTGCCTCCTCAAACTAGAGTTGACCTTAATCATGTGGATGGAGTCACGCTTTTGGGACCTACATTTGCTGATGTGAAGAAACAGCTGCAAACATCCATTAATAATCAGAACGTGGAATGTACGAAGTATGAATCTAGTGAAATTGGAAGTTGTCAGAAATGAAAAGGAACGTATAAACATCGACATCCTGCATTAGTCAGCTGAAATAAACTGATACTGGCCATTTTGAATCAGACAATCATATGGTCTGCTATGCTGGGAATGACACATTTAAGAGGAATGAGGTTGCATTCATCGTCAAAAAGAACGTTTCAAGATCTATCCTGAAGTACAATGCTGAGTGATAGGATAATATCCATACACCTACAAGAAAGACCAGTTAATATGACTGTTAATTCAAATTTATGCACTAAACACTAGGGCCAAAGATGAAGAAATTGAAGATTTTTACCAACATCTGCAGTCTGAAATTGATCAAACATGCAATCAAGATGCATTGATAATTACTGGTGATTGGAATGTGAAAGTTGGAAACGAAGGAACCGTAGTTGGAAAATATGGCCTTGGTGTGATAGAAACCATGCTGGAGATCACATGATAGAATTTTGCAAGACCAACAATCTCTTCATTGCAAATACCTTTTTTCACCAACATAAACAGTGACTATACACATGGACCTTACCAGATGGAATACACAGGAATCAAATTGATCACATCTGTGGAAAGAGATGATGGAAAAGCTCAATATCATCAGTCAGAACAAGGCTAGGGGCCGACTGTGGAATAGACCATCAATTGCTCATATGCAAGTTCAAGTTGAAGTTGAA